AAGGAGACTTCTGTAGATTCCTGAGTAGCAGGTTGCACTATGGACTCAGCTGGCTTAGAAGTTTGTAGGATGTTGCTTTCATCAACATGTACCACATTGCATTCCTTAACTGTGCAAGTTTTAGGGTCTAGGATTCTGTAGCCTCTTCCTCCAAGAGCGTACCCCACGAGGATACCAGGCTCTGCTCTTGCGTCAAGTTTGCCCCTTCTCTCCTTTGGTACGTGGGCATAGACTTTAGGTCCAAAGGCCTTTATATGTTTAAGTCCAGGCACCCTATTATGCCATAATTCAAAAGGGCTTTTATTTGTAGTTTTGATGGAACTCTATTACGAAGGTAAACGGCTGTATTGACTGCTTCAGCCCAAATATTTTCTGAAAGTCCAGATTGCGTTAACATAGAACGCACCATTTCTTGAATGGTTCTGTTTAAGCGTTCTGCATTTCCATTTTGTTGTGGAGAATAAGGAATTGTTGTCTTATGTTCAATTCCTTCTTGTTGCATGAATCTTTGGAACTCCCCGCCGTGGTACTCTGTGCCATTATCAGTGTTCCCTCTAAGCTGAGTTAGTGTGAGCTAGCTTGCCGTTTTTTAGCCTCCGGCTCACACATTTCTGTCTTGGCTCAGGAAAGATGGCTCCAGAGCCAGCTAATTTATGCAGCAGCCAAATCGCTTGCTCACAACTTTAAGGCCAGTGGCTAACAAAGTTGAATTTTTGCTCACAAGATTCCACCGCTTAGAGGGAACATTGGCCATTATCTATAAACAGTACCTCTGGCGCTTTTCCAAACTTGTTTTTAACAGCTGCAACATAGCATTTAAACTTTTCAAGCACTTGAGCTTTGCTTTTAAGTAGGTATGTATAGACATATCTGGATTTTGCTTCCATAAAACTGACAACATACTTGCTGCCTTCAGCAGACTCCTTTATTGGACCAAGAAGATCTGAGTACACAATCTCTAGAAACTTTGTATTTTGTTCAGGAGATTTGCCCTTGTAGCTAGGAGCTGTACACAGGATATAAAATAACAAAGAGCTAATATGTCTACATCCTTGCAGCTAAAAGGTAAAACGGGAAGAGCCGAATGGCGTCTCCTTCTCTAGTCAGAACAAAGAGAGGGAAGAGAAGCCATAAAATGGTAATACACCTTGACACTTTAGTCCCAATCAAATCCCTAGATCAGGGAGAAAATTCCCCGGCTTGCTACATCTAAAGAACATTGGTTACATGAGAAACATGTGACTTAACAAACATCATTGACCCTGTAAATACTGAAGTGTTTTTAACTTGTAATACCCAACACCTTTGGCCTTGTGAGGCCAGTTACATGGCAAGATTTAGACTGTCCTGTCCTGCAGAGAGCTTGAGGAAACCCCTCTGGGTTTGTGCCCCAGAGATGGTCATGTCATGACTCAGGAGGGACATGGGAGGAGCAGAGCTCAGAGTGCAGAAGGGAATTCTGCTCTTTCCACCTGAGAAGTTGGGGCTGAATTTTGATCTCGGAAGTCTCAAGTGGAATGGAGAAGAGGGGCAGGCAGATGTCCACATACTTGGAAAGTGTTTGGCGCATCTTGTGAAATGTGGGCTTCACTTCAGAACAGAGTTTTCGGTTCCAGCCAGTGGGGGGGGGATACATGCCAGAGTGGGCATTTCCCGCAGGGGGACTGATCTCGCCCATGTCCTGAAGTTGAAGTTGAAGGGCCAAGAGTGGGGGGGGGCAGACCGGCCATCTCGCCTCTGCCAGGTGAGAGTACTCAGCATCTGAGGGGCTTCCCTGCTCTCTCCCTACCCACAGTTCCCGCTGTGATCAAGTACGTGGACCAGGCCGTCAACTACCACCTCTGGTGCATCCCCTTCTCTGTGGACGGCAACCCTCCCCCGCAGGTCTCCTGGCAGTTTGACGGCAGGAGCCTGAACGAGACGGACTACGTCCGCACCACCCTGATCCCGGACCCGTATCGGAACTCCACAGTGGTGCACGGCTGCCTGAGCCTCAACCGGCCAACCCACATCTGGAACGGAAACTACACGCTGATTGTGCGCAACCCTCTGGGCACCGATTCCTTGACCATCTATCAGCACTTCATGGATGTTCCGGAGAGCTTCAACCCGGAGGACCCCATTATGGGTGAGGTGGCTCTGTTCTGCTGGCCGGCTGCCTGCCTGCCTGCCTCCCTCCCTCCGAGTTGGCCCTGGTGCTGGCCACGGGTCAGCCATGGATCTGCCTCCCTTCAGGTCTGGCCTGGGGCAGAAACTGGCAGAGCCACACCTGCAGCAACACTTCCTCTGCTGTGCTTTGTGGGGAGAGGGGGCCTTTTAGAGGATCCTGTTCTTTGGAAACCTCTCCCTCCTGCGTCTTCCGGAGTCAGGTGGGGGAGGGTGGACAGGGAAGAAGAACTTAAGGGGAGAGGAGGAGGAGGAGGAGGAGGCAGGCAGGCCTAGAGAGAGTAGCCAGGTACCCTTGCCAGTTCCAGGGGAGGGGGGGTTCCTTCGGGAGCTGAAGTGAGGCAGAGGCTTTTGCATTCCCCAGCAGCTGGGGGGCGGGGGGGGGGGCAGTGGTGGCCTGGGCCCAGAATGCAGCAATCCCAGTGGCAGAGGGGTCGTCGTGGAGGGTGCCCCCCCTTCCCCATAGGGTGACGGATCTCTCTCTCTCTCTCTCTCTCTCTTCCCTTCCTGCTGCTGTTCCAGTGTCGCTGCCCCCGACCAGTGAGTGGTTGAGCGGAATGTGCCCCCTCCCCATTTCACCCTGACCGGGAGGGCGGGGAGAGGCAGGGAGAGCAGGCCTTCCTTCTGCTTCTGGCCCTGGCAGTTCAGAGGGGGCGAGAAAGGGAGGAGCTGTGCTCTTTGCAGGGCTCCCCCCCCCCGCCGCCGCCTTCTGGACTCATCATCGGAGCTTGAACGAGTCCGGAGAGTGACCCTGCCTCTTTCATTCTTCCTTTGCCACGCAGGTGACAGGAACAGCACGCTGGCAGGGCCCGTGGAGACTCCGGAGGAGCACACCTTTGGGGTGAGGCCGGGGAGAGGGCATTGCCGGGTACCCGGGGCACGTCCCAGGGAAACGCCCTTCGAGGAGGAAAGGAGCGTGGCCGGGAGAAGCGCCCTCCCCCTCTTGTGCTGGTTCTCTGTTTCCGAGGACTTTCTGCAGTGGCCTCCCCACCCACTCACCCGCCCCGCTAGAGACTGGAGGGCTGGCTCTGAGCCGCCTACCCCCTCCGCTCCTGCCGCTGCGCCCTGGGCTCGCTGGCAAAGGAGCCCCCCTGCCAGGGGGGGCTTCACGTGCCGCTTGGGAGGGGCCGTGGAAGGGATATGGGGCAGATGTGGCTCCTCCCCCGTGGCAAATCAGTGGCCACAGCCAGGCCACAAACGCCCACAGGAGCCACGTCCCCGGTTCCTTCGAGCCCAGCCGTGTGACTGACTGGACGGCCTCCCCAGAGCAGTGGCCAGGGAGAGACCTGCTGGCCCCCTCTGCCTCAGGTCTTCGGTGTCTTTTTGTCCTTCTTCCAGGTCTCCGTGGCGGTGGTTCTGGCCGTCTGCGCCTGCATCTTCCTCTCCATCATGCTCATCGTGCTCAACAAGTGTGGCCAGCACTCCAAGTTCGGCGTGAACCGTAAGGCCCCCTTCACTGGGGACATGGGTGTCCGCTTTCCCTCTCCCTTCCTGGCGGCCTGGTGGGGGGCCTTTTTGGCCCACACTCACACAGGGAAATGGCTCTTCCAGCTGCGGGGGGCGGGGAGGGGGCGCTGCCTTTGTGCCCCAGCCTGGCAACTGGCCACTCGCCTTAGGGAGCGCCTTTCTTCTGACTGATCAGGAGGCAAACGTGGAATGCCATGCGAGGGGAGGGGGCCCCTAACCCCGGCCCAGCATCTTGTAGACGCAGGTGCCGCAAAAGGAAAGCCCCCCCCCCCCAGCATTGCCTGGAGGCAGCAGCCTTCCCACACGGGCATCTCTTGGTGTTCGAGGCTGCCGATAGATCTCTCTTCCCCTGCCTAGTTCTGGCAGTGCCAGGGGGGAGGGAGGAGAGGGGAAGCTTTTTATTACTTCCTTTCCAGAATTTAGCTGGCCTGTTCGGGTCCAGGTCATGTTTGATGTTCTGCACGGGCATTTTACCACCTGCAAGGATGGTGTTTCCTGCTGGTGTCATGGCAAAGGAGCGACATACATCCCCCACGCCCACCAGTGTATCCACCAGGAATGGAAGGTGGAACCGGGAGGGGTGGGGAAGCGAGCCAGTTCCCTCCCCCCGCCCAGCCCCCACCATTTCATTAATGTTGCTCTTCCTTCTCCTTTAAGCAGACATCAGCTGCTAATTCACTGCTGGAATTGATTCAGGCTGTAAATGGGTTTGATCTGCCTGGATCACCCCCAAGCGGCCAGGGCTTGTGGGGGGGGGGGAGCAGCCACTTGTAGCTGCCTCCCACTGGAGCTAAGGCAGTTGCCAGCAACGGACCTGGCCTGGCCGAGCTGAGATCTTTCGGTTTGTCCCCAAGAGCTGCTCTGAGGCCGGGCTAAAAGACCAGTCCCTTCACTGCACCTCGCCCCAAACCAAAACCAACGCTTCAAAGAAGCAAGCAATGCTGCTACCCAATTGTGGGGGGGGGGCTCTCTCCAATTGCTGTGTGCAGGTCAAGTGACCGGAAACGCTTATTTGTTTAAGAGACGGAGAACCCAAGGGCTCCCTTTCGGCTTCCCCCTTCCCTGGCCTCCGCCTCCCGGTCCCTTTCTCTGGTGAATAAGGGACCGGGAGGCGGGGTCGAGGAGTCAGACTAGGATCTGGAAGGCCCCAGTTCAAGTCCCGACTCGTGCCATGGAAGCTGGGTGACCTCCCAGCCTAACCCACCGCACAGGGCCATTGTGAGGCTTAAAAGGGAGGAGAGGAGAATGGTGCGGGTTCCTTTGGGTCCGTCCCCCCCCCTTGGGGAGTAAGGCGGGATACAAACGAAGGCCATAAATGACAGAATCTTTTGGCTGTGATGGGGAAACCTAGATGGGGTGAGTGTCTCACCTGTTGTGCCTGGCTGGGCGTCTGCCCGCAAGAGCCGTGGAAGAGACACTCGGGGCTCCACGGGGGGGGGGAAGCCGGGGGAGCTGCCGGGCCTTTGTGCCCGAGGGGGCCCTTGAGCCCGTCTGAAGGCCCCAAGGGCCACCCCGGAAGAAGAAGGGCCAGGGCCTCCACGAGTGGGTGGGGCCGGGTGGGGCCCTTGGGGTGCCCGAGGGTGGTGCCTGCCTGGTCCAGCACGGCTGGAGGGAGCTTGAGGATGAAACCGGGATGGGAACGTTTCAACAGACAGTTCAGCCACTGCTGCACCCGACGGTTTCACTAGTTCTTGCGCCAGAAAACGTTGCAGGTGGATTTTGCTTCTCCTCGGGGTCCTCCACGCTTGCCCTGCCTGGATCGCTCAGAAACCTCCCCTGTAACCTGCTGACAGACGGGGTGAATGCCGACGCCCGTAGGACGGCTGGTTGTTCCTTCAGCCCTGGCCGATGAGGAGTGGAGGGAGGGCGCTGCCTTCCCCATCCATAGGGCTAGACGAGGCTGCCCTTCTCCTCGGCCCGGGCTTCCCCCACCCCCCAATCCTGCTCCGCGCTCCACCCCGGCCCCCTGTGGACCGGGAGTCATTATCTCCACCCACCAGGCTGCTGCTGGTGCTGCTGCAGCCCTGCAGCCTTGCGGAGACATTGATGAAGATGCATGGGGAAGGCTTGCTGGTGATGGACCCTCTTATGGTAATTACTGGAGGCTTAAATGCGCTGCTTAGTGCTCCCTTGCTGATAACCTCCCCCCACACAGAATGGTGGGGTAGAGGGGAGGGGAGGGGGAGTCCTGCAACCTTCTTCGCCACTCGCCGGGATGGATGGATGGGGGGGGGGCTTGCGTCTCAGAGGCCGGATCAAGACGGGCGGAGCCTTGTGAGTCTGTTCGTAGCAGAGGAGAAGAGCAAGAGTCCGGGAGCACCTGGAAGTCTTTTAGCGCACCGGCTGTGGCCGGGCAGGGGCTCCCGTGTGAGTGTGTCCCTGCTCATGTTTTCAGGTTTACTTTGTTTGATTTACCTTTAATTTGTTGGGCTTGTATCCCGCCCTCCCCACCAGCAGGCTCAGGACGGGTTCCATCAATATTAATACAATATACAATATAATTAAAAACCACTTTGAAGCAACAGATTAAAACAGCACAGAATCATAAAAGGCTGTGTGTGAATGTTCTGAAGAAGTGAGCAGAGGCTCTCAAAAGCTCCTCCCCCTGCCACAGTTTTTGTTAGTCTTTAAGGTACTCCTGGACTTTTCCTCTTTTCTGTATTTCAGAGGCCACAAAAGAGGCTTAGAACGGCGTGACGGCCGGTGGCAGCTCCTGCCCCACCCACCCAGCTGCGGCCCCTGCTCACCCCCCCCCTCAGTGGCCAAGCACCCTCCAGCCGAGGCTGCCTGGCCAGGCCACCCCCCAGAGTTCTTCACTGCAGGCTAGAAAACCCCGGGAGAGCCCGGCCATCTCTGAGACTCGGTGGCAGGCCCTGGGGGTGTAGACTTCCTGAAGCAGCCGTCATCAGAGGCCACCCCTTCCTGGCCACTTAGAAGAGGCCACGCTGGCAGAGAGGACAGATCCCGGTGCCTCTGGATGCTTCCTGCGGAGGCTCGGCCGTGAGGAGAGCTGCACAGGAGCGGAGCCCTGCTGAATCAGACCACTGCCCGGGGCCCATCTAGGCCAGCATCCTGTTTTCGGCACCCCGGGAGAGCCCTGCCGGCCCAGCCCTCCCCTGCAGCCTCCCCTCCCCCCCACCCCAGCATCTGGCCCTCCGAGAGGAGCCGGGGTGTGTCAGCCACGGTGGCACCTCCCTCGCCTGCGTGAACTAGTCCTGCCCTTGGTCTGCCTTGACTCATCTGCCCATTTGCTCTAGAGGGTGTTCAGTCCAGCGGAACGAGAGAGGGTAGCTGGCCGGCATGTTTCTCCCCCTCTGGACGACAAGAGCCCGGCGCCACCCCAGCCTCCTCCCGGCTGTAGATGACTGAGGGCGGCAAAGGTTTTGTCCCGGGTGGCCTCCCCCTCCTCCTCCTCCTCCAGGGTGGGGCTGGAACCCTGTGCCATGTATTCTGGCTCCCCGTGCTAAATCATCGACGTTCAAGAAATGGAATCCCTAATGGGACAGAGCAGGCCCAGGCTGCCGATTCCCCCCTTGCTTTTGCTCCCGCAGGGTCGGCTGTGCTGGCGCAGGAGGATGAGCTGGCCATGTCTCTGCAGTTCATGAACTTGGGCACCAGCCCCCTCACCTCCGCAGAGAGCAAACTGGATGCCCTCAAGACCAACTTCATAGAGAACCCACAATACTTCTGCAGTACGTGTGAGTGCCCCACTGCACGCACCGGGGGGGGGAGGGGGGGGAGTCATCTTTAGCCTGGATGAAAAGAAGCCATCCTGCCTTTCGTGTGTGAATACTGAGAACCAAGATACGCACGGAGGGCTGTAAACGAGGGGTGGGTTTCACTGTGGCAGAGGGTGAGCAGAGGCTGTGCCCCCCCCCCATGGGCGGCCTTGCCTCTTGGGGAGCACAGCAGGGAACTCCAGGAGGAAAGGCCCAGCAGTCCTGCCACAAAAGGCTGCTGGGGGGAAGGTCAGTGGCCGGGGAAACACAGAGTCAGGATGACCCACACGCTTTGCCGGGGGAGGGCTCCTCTGGGTGCCCCGGCTGCCGAGAGGTTTCTTGCCTAGCTGCCCGTGGTTACCTCCTGTGGTACAGCTTCGGGGGGGGAGGGGCCGCCCGCCCGAGCATCCAAAGACAGGCTGGACCTTGGGCCCCTCTTCCCCGAGGCCCGCCTGGGGGTACCCGGTCGCCTAAGGGGAGTGGCGTGGCAACGGGGCTCCTTTCTCCCTGCAGGCGTTCGCCACATCAAGCGCCGAGACATCGTCCTGAAATGGGAGCTGGGGGAAGGGGCCTTTGGGAAAGTCTTCCTAGCCGAGTGCCACAACCTGAGCCCTGCACAGGAGAAGATGCTGGTGGCCGTCAAGGTACAGTCTGCAGCACCGTTGCTTTCTCAGCCCTTTAAAGGCAGGTGTTTGTGTGTGTGTGTGTGTGTGTGTGTGTGCCCGTGACAGACCCCGTTCCAAAGTGCTTTGGGTGGAAACTTGAGCTCCATGCAGAAAAAACGGGGCAAATTGGCCCCAGCAGCCCTTTCTCCCAAGAAGAGGCTGGCCGGCTGCGGTGGTGGGGGAGTCCCTTGTGCACCCGGAGTCAACCTGTGCGCCTAACCTCCTTCTCAAGGCCCTGAAGGAAGCCACGGAGAGTGCCCGGCTGGACTTCCAGAGGGAGGCCGAGTTGCTGACGGTGCTGCAGCACGAGCACATTGTCAAGTTCTACGGCGTCTGCACAGAAGGGGAGCCGCTCATCATGGTCTTTGAGTACATGAAGCACGGAGACCTCAACCGCTTCCTCAGGTGCGCGCGTCCCCCCCCCCGCCCTATCCGCCCTGGAAATGCGAGGGAAGCCAAACGGGCACCGGGAGAGCCAGAGAGCGGAGGAGGAGGAGGAAGGGAGGGGGGGCTTGACTCCTGGGGGAGGGGGGCTTGCCCCCTGCCCTCTCCTTGGTGGACCACTACATCCCCCTCTCGTCCTGGCGGCCAGGCCGGGCAAGAGCGGAGGCCGGGGCTGCGCTGCGTGTGGTGGGCGGCAGATCCACCACCCCCAGCTCCAGCAGCACAGCCCCGCAAAGGCCTCGCGTGGCCCCCTTTGCCTCCTGCTGCTCCCGGTGCCCTGGAAAAAAGTCCCCCCCCCCGTTTGAGCTCCTTCTCGCAGCCTGCCCCCTCTCACTCGTGCAGCCTGCCCCCGCCCCTGCTCCATTATGGCAGG